TTTTTTTTTTCTTGTTTGAGGTAAATGATTTACAGAAATGAGCTTAGGATGATTGGGATTGTGGTCTTTTGTTTTGTTGGCTTTAATTGGTTTATTTTAGGATGAACTATTATATTACATGATTTGGCTTGTTTTGCTGATCTGGGTTTACTTTTCTCAGGGGCCCTTCTGTTTTGAATTGCTTCCAACCTATGGGTCAAATTTCCTTATAGAATTATGTTATGTCAATTTTTACTTTGATAATACAGAAATTAAGGCAGTTAACAATGTGGGTTAAATAAGATAAGGAAGATGGAGAAAGTTCACACAATTCAAAATTTTAAGTTTCCTCTTGATTGCTAGAGGGGTTTGCTGAATGTTGAGGGTGTGAGGAGATGTTGTAGAATGAAAGTGAATCCAGAAAAGATATGAATAAATTGATAACAGGAACAATACAAATTAGACTTTTTTGTTTGCAATGGATTATGTTGATCATGTGAGCCCTTTGATTAGGACCATTGTTTCATGTCAGCTACTTATCATATGACACATGTATTGATTAATACTGTACGGATGGGCTTCTTGTGACAAATATTGGGTAAAAATTTACTGATATACATCCTGTGACGTGGGAATTGCATATTGAATTTTTCTATAGATGACATACTATGCGCCTTTATCCACTTGTTTCTTATGATCACAAAAGAAAGATATTAGTCCAAGCACCCTGCCTGAGACAAGGAAATACCTCAGTATTGTTGTGAAAATTCATAACCAATAATGACAATTATCTAAAGTTCATATAGAGGTACAACCCCTGGGCTTAATTCAGTTTTTTTCATCATATTTACATAATTCTAAAATGGCTATCTTCTACTTGATTTGATTCTTTTTATTTGAATGAACTTAGTGTTGTGAATTAAGAGGGGTCAAGCAGATTTGTTTGACTTCTGAGTTGTTTCCATTGATTAAACATGTGCTGTGTACAAAGTTTCATTTAGTTGATAACATATTACTTGCATTTCAAATGTTTTGGTAGGCATTTTGTTGTTTGGTGATGTAGTGCAATGACCTCTTAGTTGATAATATTACGTTCATTTGTCTTCTTAGCTTGTTTTGGTAAGATGAAAGTGAAGTTCAAATTTAAGAGTTGTCCTTTAATATTTTTGGAGAGATACTTTCTTGTTTTAGAGTTTTTGCTTTAACATGCGGAAGGAGCTTGATTATCATTCTTGGCTGCAAAGGGGACTGTTAACACATTAGCTGGATCTCTTGTCCCTTCTATTGATCCTTTCCTCGTCACTTGTTTTGATAAAAGCTACTAAAACATCTAAGAAAGCATTTGGATTTGGTCAATGGCGGAAGTGCATTTCCAGGTCACTTAATGTTATCACCTCTTATTGCAGCAGAATAAATCTTTATTAGAAGTTTAATAGTTAGAAGTTTCAGATTTAGCTGCAGTCTCTTCATCCCACCACAAGTGGTTTTAAGCTATCTTCTGTTCAATTACATATTTTTTATCTCCCTAAGTTCTGTAATTTTGTTGTATCTAAAAATTTTTTGGAACCATATTTCAATTGTACATTTATGAGAAGAAGCATAATTATATTATCTCTTCTCCTGCCTAACTGTTCCCTAATTTCATCATTAGAAAAGCTCATATTAGAATGGTAACTTTCTGCAGTGCTCATTTTATTCCTGGAAAGTTGTAGCCATTCTGAAATGAACTATCCAATGGAATATGAATTAGTTGACCCTGTATTTCTATTCAATGTAAGGTTGCAAGAGAAGAATAGGCCAGCTAGATTCACAATTGATTGAAAACAATAAAACAAGGATTATAATACAATTGATCACATTGTGCAATAAGAAAACGTTTTCTCTTATTTACTTCTGGCAAGAAGAATATCTTTACAACCTCCCTCTTCAATTGATATTAAAAATGTTGAAACATCTTTGAAATATTTGATGGAGGCAAGCTTTTAAGCAGTGTGAAGTGAGAATGCTTAGTATATTAGCTTATTGTCCTTCTGAATAGATCTACATGTAGTGCAATAGAGTGCATTTTAGTAAGATTGACGCCACTTTTGAATGTGAATTTGCTCAAGGGATATCAATGTCGCTATAGCAAAAGCCAGAAGTAATACTTGATGAACTGTAAATTTTATGCATGCTCGTCCTTATGTTTGTTCAGAAATCAATAATACATGTATCATCTATTTCACAAATTTATTGTGTGTATGATCCTTTTTGAGGTGATAGAGTATAGTGTTATACCCTGAAAGTAGATCTCTGTTGAGAATCTTCTTGCTTTCCTATTTGAGCCATCTTTAGGTGTAAGGATCTTGGAATTACTTTTGCTCCATTCCTGATTCACGTAATCTTTGTCCCCATTAATAACAGAGGAGAAATTTGTTTGTGTTTTATCTAATAACAAGCTTTCATTGCCATTGCAGCAACGTTCTCATGTACCCAAATTTGGCAATTGGGAGAGTGAAGAGAATGTTCCCTACACAGCTTATTTTGATAAGGCCCGTAAGGGTCGCACTGGAGGAAAGATTGTAAATCCTAATGATCCCCAAGAGAGCCCAGACTTACATGATGATTATGTAGCTCCAACAAGAGCTTCTCCTGCTTCCAGAGCAAAACCAGAACTGGATGAACCAGTAGGACATGGACCTGCTAGAAGGGCACATGAGCGTGGAAGGAGCAGGGAAGAAGGGGAACTCAAACAATATTCTTACTCTCCATCACATCATGACAATGTTAACCGTAGAGCTTCTGGTGACTCTACACCTTCACGTTATGGTCGTGGAGCAAATGTTGGTGAAGTCCCAAAACGACCTGCAAGATCAAGTATTGGATCTGAAAACAGCATAGATAGATCACCACTCCATCACCAGGCACGGGTCGGGAGAGGTAGCATGGCCTCACCTGCATGGGAAGGAAAGAATTCATATGATGGTAGCCATGGTACTCCTGGGAGATCAAGAATGAAGCCAAATACTAGAGGCGATGAAAGTGTAAATTCTCTTCCTTCTCCCTGCCATTCTGTCTGAAATTGCATAAACTTGAACATTAGTGTGTTGTGGATCTGCTGGTGGGCTTGAAAAACCCCTCTATTTCCTTCTTGTTATATGTCTCTCAATGATTTCCTTCCTTTTTCTTTTTCTTCTTTTTCCTGAAAAGGTAAAACTAAAGCATAGCATATGCATAGCTTGTCAACAACTTGAAGTCTACATGACAGGTGGCCTACTTGGCACTTGCCTCATAGAAAGCCTTCTCTGTCTTAGATCATGTTCCCATGTAGCAGGAAAAAAAGTTTTTTACTTGAATTTCTTGTAATACTTGATAAAGGATCAAAATGCTTTTTTTTTTTTTGCAACACTGATAAAGCATCAAAATGAATAGTGCATTAGCCTGTCTTGCTTGCTTTGGGGTTGATTGTGTGAACTTTTACTTTTGCATCTGCTCTTTGCTGTTTTTCCCCAGGTGGTGACTCCTCTTGAGACAAACTAATACTACTGTAAAAACTTGTCACTTTATTTAAGCTTGTTATTTTCTTAAAGCTGGTTGCTAATAATCTGGTTTCTGGTGTCACAGCCTGATAAAGGTGCTGCTGTTCCCAAATTTGGTGACTGGGATGAGAATAATCCGGCATCGGCTGATGGTTATACTCACATTTTCAACAAGGTGAGAGAAGAGAGGAACAACGGGGGCAGGGTACCAGGCATGCCAGGTGAGCAATCTCCATACCACACTGGTCAGAATCGGAAGCCAACTAACAGCAGTGCTAAGGTATGTTGTGTGGGAACCTCACCAAGAACTTTGGTTGCTGTCCCTGTGGTTTCTAGAGATCTTATAGAATTCCTAATTTTGTTTTCGGTTCTGTTTCTTTTCCTCCAGAGTTGCTGCCTTCCATGGTGCAGGAAATGAGGCCTTTGAATCTGTGGATTTGTTATAAGTTGTGTGGAATATATTGTAAATACATTGAAGGCTCCTTCAAAGCAGAGTAATTTCACTGAAGTGCGGTTATTATGTCTGCGTGTGTGCTTTTTTTGTGATGATAAACATGGTATTTTGTTTGGTAAACATGTTTTTTTTTTTCTCCCGTTCTCTCTGTTATATACTCTTTTTCACTCTTAGCTTGTCCATTTTGGTATACCACTTTACATTGCAACTATGTTTGGTGAGAAAACACCAGATGCAGATTCTTTAATTGTGTTCTAAATGTATGGTGTCCATTTTTGTTGTTTACAAACTGTGGATGAGCTGTGGTAAGTTGTTTAACATGGTTATCTGCTCAAAATAGTTTCAATTCTGTTGGGAGTTTACTGTTAACATTCTAGGTTGTTGGCCACAAGTTATTTTTGTGGCAATGGATGGATCAAAGGTTATGGTTATTGTTTGGTACAACTTTGTTGATGACAACAGTAAGTCAAACTTTGGACAGTCTTTCTATGTGCTAGCAACTATAAACCAGGCATGAATTCATAGAATTAGATTGTAAGAGAGAATCAATATCCCAATTTAACCTTGAAGGCTTTGACCTGCCAATAGATGCTTACTGATGAACTTTCCCGGTACAATTGCGTTCAAGTTTGAGAATTGTTTACCTCATTAAAAAATAAAAGGTAACTCTCACTTTGTTTGACGTCACATATATTTTTGCTGTTACTATTCCGCACGCGAAGTTATTACTAAGCTGATTATTTATTATTTTATTGCAAAGTTATTATTAAGCTGACTTATGATTATTTATTATTTTATTGCTACAAGGACACTCAATGACGTTATCTTCTGGTCAAAACCATACAAATTTTCTTGTCTAAACATGTTTGTCTGTGTTAGGGATGTCAATGGGTAAAAAAAGCACTAGTTATTTTTTAAGTTAAAATATTTTATTATTTTTAATTTTTAATTATAATTATATACAAATTTATTATTTTATAAGATGAACGTTTTAATCCAAAAAGGTAAATAACATTAATATTTAAGTTGAAATGTTTCAAATATTTTTTTTTACTTTTTTTTAAATTGATCAGTGTTTCTTATCCTAATTGTAGTAATTTTAATATCTAAATATGATTGTAAAATATTTTAATATTTTTTAATCAGGTCAAATAATATAAGATATTTAATTTTAAAATAAAATATCTCGAACTTCTTAAGTTCTAATCAAAATTTCAAATAGATTTATCAGTTTTTGAAATTGATACGTTATCTTAAAAAAACTTACAACAATGGATTCAAGAGAATATATCTGTTTCAAAGCTTTGTGATGGAGTTCCATGGGGAGTCATCTTCTCTCATGCGATATGGATGTTGTGGCATTGGAGAAATAAAAATATGTTTGATTATTCTTTTCATTGGCCAGATAATGCATCACAGTATATATGGTGTAAGGCGAAAGAACCTTGGGATATTTTGGAGAAAACAGAGCATCAATCTAAAATCGCTCACATGTAAAGCTTAATGTGGATTGCAACTCAAAAGGTATTTCTGGGGAATCTACTGCAAGGGGCTTGGTAAGATGATGACGAAGGGAATTGGTTTCTTGGTTTTGTTCATAAGGTGGGTGTAACATGCCCACTTGTTGCAGAACTTTGGGCCATTCATCAAGGCCTTAAATTATGTTGGGAGAGAGGTTTTAATAAAGTGCAAGTAGAAGCAGTTTCAATGGTGGCCATTAAGAAGATCTCCAGTTCTAACTTTTCACTGGATCCATGTGCAAACTTACTAAGGCAAATTAAGGAGCTGTTGTTACAAGGGGAATGAGATTGCACTATTACTCACATATATAGTGAGGCCAACTTTGAAGACTTAGAGATAGGTTTACACATCTTTAATGTTCCACCTCAAAATATTTCCTCTATTTTATTAGAAGATAAACTAAGCTTATCATGGACTAGAATGGTGCAAGTTAATGTTTGATTAATTGAATTTCCCTTTTTACAAAAAAAAAAATTCTCTCACTAAACACATATATCTAATTGTTTTCATTAATTTGATGATGTAGTAATATTAAAATAATAATTTTATTTTTTATTAATTTTAATAATTATTATTAATTTTTTTTAAAAATCAAATATTTTTTTTTTAAAAAAAATATAACGATAATTTTTTAAATTAATAAAAAAAGTATTTAAACCTTTCATAGTCTCTATTAACAATGTTTACACTCTTAAAATAAAATATTTATTTTAAAAATTAATAAATTAATTTCAAATTTGATTAAAATTTAAAAATATAAAATAATTTTACCCTTAATTTTATGAAAACTATTAACATCTCATATAATAACAAATTAAAAAGAAAAAGACAACAAAAAAATTGTCAATCATTTCATTTCAGTCTGTTATCTAAAGTCTACGGTGCTACGAGCTGTAGAAGATCCCAAACTCCAACACGTCCCGTTATCGCACTTGTCCTTGTATTTTTTCAATTTTTTTAATCACACCGTTTCGACACAAAAGCGAATTCAACTCTGACCGTTAATTCCCAAAGCAAACAAACGGATAAGACGGAGACGAATCTGACGGCGTCACTCAAACTCTAAGAGCGCCAAAAAATCGCGGTAGCTCAAAACAATTCAAATCGCCAAAATTCAAAAACCCAATGAAACAAACAAAAATAAAGCAAGAGAGCTCCCTCCACTCCTCTCTCTCTGCTCTCAGATCTGATTTTCAAAAGAAACAAACGGCATACAGAAGTCTCACCATTCTTTTTTCTTCTTCAAATCCCAGGTACTTAAACAAATCTTCTATTCCATTTTTGTTTCAAGTGAAGTGTTCCTCCTCTTGGATTTGTTGTTGTGTAGGTTTATTATACCACCAATTTTGTTATTTCTTTTTCTTATATGTTTGGAATTGCTTCAATTCGAAGAATTCTTTGTACCCAACTGAAGTTATTATGTATCAAGTTAAACTATGAGCTACTTCTTTTAGATCTTAGATTCCGGATGCAATCTAGCGAAATTATGTGAGTGCAGGAAAAGAGGGTATTTTTTCTTTCTGGGTCTTAAGCTTTCTCAAAATCCTTGAGTTTTCTTTTACTTACCTAAGAAAAGTTTCCAATTTTTCATCAAATTTGAGTACCCAATTAAGGGTAAAGAAACATGGTGAGGGAGGAAAGAGTAGAGTCGTTTTACGCCAGGCTTCGGCAATCGGTTAGGGCATCATCTCTGTCTCCTTTACTCATTTTCCCGTCGGCGTCCGATGTGGACTCTCTCTGTGCTCTCAAAATCATTTTCCACATCCTTGAATCTGATTCAGTCCGGTACTCGTGTTATCCGGTCTCTTCTTTTCAAGAAATCCGAAAGTATGCTGCTTCTGATTTGAGTTCTTCCTCTGGGGAGCCTGTTACCATACTTTTGATTAATTGGGGATGCCACCGTGACCTCCAGAAGGATCTTAAGTTAGGACCCGCTACGTGTGTTTTTGTTGTTGATAGTCATAGGCCGATTCACTTGCATAATTTGAGTGACGAGAATGATCAGGTGGTTGTTCTCTACACAAATGATGATGAGCGCTTGGCTGATCTGGCCTATGATTTTGAAGTTATGGAGTTGGCAAATGCTAGCTATTGTTTACATAATTCAGAGTTGGATAGTGAAGAAGATGAATATAGTGAAAGCGAGGATGAGGATGGGGACGATGAGGAGGAAGGGGGAAGTAGGGATGGATCTAGGAAACGAAGAAGAATATCTTCAGAAGGTGAGGAAGAGCCAGCATCTCGGCGTTTCAAGAAATTAAAAAGGGAGTATTATCGGATGGGAACTTTCCATGGTAAGCCATCAGGATGTTTGATGTATGATTTGTCACATTCTTTGAGGAAAAACACAAATGAGTTGCTTTGGCTAGCTTGCGTTTCGCTTACTGATCAGTTTGTTCATGAGAGGCTAACAGATGAGAGGTATGAAGCTGGGGTTATGGAGCTTCAGCAGCATATTACCAGTTTAGGGAATTTGGATGCAGTTACTTCAGTGACTCTTAAAGATGGGACCAAGATTCGAGCTCCAGATTCCTCAAGAATTGCCTATGAAGAAGAACCAAGACTTATGTTGTTAAGAGAGTGGAATTTATTTGATTCGATGCTGTGTTCCTCATACATTGCCCCTAAGTTGAAGACATGGAATGATAATGGTATGAAAAAGCTTAAGCTTCTTCTTGCACGGATGGGATTTGCACTTGTTGATTGCCAGCAGAAGTTTCAGTACATGAATCATGAAGTAAAGCAGAAGATGAAAGATCAGTTTGAACAAATTTTGCCTGAATATGGACTGAATGATTTCTACTACAAAAGTTTCTTGCGTCTTCATGGTTATACTTCAAGGGTTTCAGCTGCAGACATGGTATATGGAGTTACTGCACTGCTTGAATCATTTGTGCAATCGGATGGCTCTTGCGCTTCAAAGCAGTTTGGGGTGGCATATGATGCACTGTCCTTGAGTAATCTTGATAAGCTGAAAGCTGGAATGCAACAAGCAATAAAGATACAAAGGGCTATTCTTAGGCAAGGAAGTGCTGCAATAACAAAGAGTGGCTGTATCAGGAGTGGAAGAAAGTTTAGGTGGGTGAAGCTTGAAGATTCAGTAGATACAAAGCTGTTGGGTCACCCCCAGGCTCTGACAAAGTTATGCTACTTTCTAATGGATGCCTTGAAGGAGAGAGGAGCTAGGATGAAGCCTTTGCTTTGTGCCTGCATATGGCAAGAGCCGGCAAAGGTGTTGATTGTTGGGGTCTGTGGAAAGCCTCGCCTTGGAGCACTTCAAGGGAATGCATTTGGTATTGCATTCAGGAATGCTGCTGAGGAAACTGGAGCTGAATTCTTCCATGAACTCTTTGAATCTTCATGGATTGTGTTGGATGTAGGTGCTGTTAATTCCTTCATGGTCAGATTAACTGAAAAGCTTTGATGTAAAACTTTCAATACGTTGGCAATTGTAACTTTGCGGTGTTGTTCTCAAAAGGAAAAACATTACTTACGGTGAGTAATTTTTTAGTAGCTTGTTTGAAATAACCCATGAATAAAATTCTAATTTCACTTTAATCAATTATGGCTTCTTACTTGCTTCATTTATCTCATTTCTCGTCTGATCATTACCCAATCAACTGAAGATTGATCATTGAATCGGACCTGCATATGCATATGATTGTTCCGGTCAAGTAAATTGACAATATCGGTTGTATTTTTGGTAATGATGTAGATGTTACACCATGACAATTAGGTGACTGGAAAGTGCCCTTTGGTGTATATAATAATGCTAGCATTATTACTGGGTTTTTAAATGACTGGGTTTTTGTCTGATATTGAATTCCAGTGTCCAGAAAAATGTAGTAGAAGATTGGAGAGTGGTGAATATCAGAATTTGGAAGAGAAATGTGTAAGCTTCTTTTATTTTTTTAAAAATTTTTTTCACCTGAATTCTTCTTCACATTTGATCTCAAGGGGTGGATTACTGGCATAAATAAAAACAAAACAAAAGCCAATGAAGAGCTAGATTAGAGTTTTGGTGGCGTTGTGGTCAAGTCTGCCTGGGTTTGGTAAAGACCGCATGATTTACATTGGTTATGACAGAGATAGAAGATTGTGTTGGTGTATTTTCAAAATTATAGATTATGTCATATAATGAAAAGCTATTTTTGCTAGCACCTATCAACTTGAAGATTTTTGCTTTTAAATGATTGAGTGTTCGTCTGATATTGAATTCCAGTGTCCAGAAATAGAAGATTGAGAGTGGTGAATATCAGAATTTGGAAGAGATGTGTAAGCTTCTTTTATTTTTTATTTTTTTCACTTGAATTCTTCTTCACATTTGATCTTAAGGGGTGGATTACAGGCATAAATAAATACAAAACAAAAGGTAATGAAGAGCTACATTAGAGTTTTGGTGGTGTTGTGGTCAAGTCTGCTTGGGGTTGGTAAACACTGCATGATTTACATTGGTTAGGACAGAGATGAAAGATTGTGTTGGTGTATTGTCAAAATTATAAATTATGTCATATAATGAAAAGTTATTTTAGCTCAAAAGTTATGTCACACAAAATAATATAGAGTGACTATTGGATTGTAGGTAGGTTTTCATGTGAATGGTTATGTTTCTTGGTAAAATGACATCCAAAGTTTATGAGACAAATTAAAAAAAAAATACTATAGCTCAAAAGTTTAAATATGAAAAGTTATTATTTCATATTATAATTCAAAAACTATGTTTTATAGAATGAATAGTTGTCATTTCATAAGATGATTATTGAAACAATACTTATGTCATTTCATAAGATGAATAGTTTAAATATGAATGGTTGTTGACAACCATTTTGATATATAAAAAATCAAAAACAAAAATGTTGTGGTTTACTAATATAAACAATTAAATTCCAATCAACTACAAAAGTATCCAAATTTCTTATAATCTACTTGTTGTAGAAAGTAGGCTTTAAGGTCGAACAACTTTGCAAACCTTCAAGTGTATTTAGTAGTTTATTCTCGTAAGTGTAAGACGAAGTTAGACATTAGCTTCATTGTATCCCTAAGGCTATTCGCATTATTTTTTTTTGCATTCTGAGTGGTGGGAGCGAAATAAGTTTTTAAGGTAGTGTCTATTAAAAGGCTCGTCTTGAAGTCAATTTTGCTGGTTCTTTAAATTTCATCTAAATCCCATTTGCACCAACAATTTTAAAACTTATTTTTCGTGGTGTTGGAATTCACTGGCTTTTTAAAAATAATATACCAACATCGTTAAGTTAGACCGTTTTAAAGGAGGAAACTATATTTGTTGACAAAAGTTGGACTAATTTGATGGTAACAAGTAAATTGACAAAATGGTTCATCATCAAGTTACAAGATAAGTTTTCTTTCCCTACTTAATATGCATGATATTGTATTTGACATGCATGGAAAATGTATATTGGTTGAAAAAAAAGAGAAAATTTGTTATATTCATATATGATCTTGATATGGATAAGGTTATTGTTGTGTCTTTTATAATTGACATACTTATCTCGTTATGGATAGACACTAAGAAAACTTTAAAGTATAAGAAAGAGAAGATATCTCTTTAGGACCTTGGTAATCATCTTCAAATAAAAGATGATTGTTGCAACCAAGATGTAGTCACAAACAAAATGAGAAAAATAAAAATCCTAATGTAAACCATCTTGAGTTGATGAAGGTCCATGTGATGAAAGACATAAGGCATGGGCATGTGGCATTCCTATTATACATTAAGGTATAATGATGCCAATATGTAAATACCATCAAGGTTCATGTGATAGGTGGACATGTACTATTCTTATTATACATTAAGGTATAATAATGCCAATATGTAAATACCATCAAAGTCAATGTGATAAATGGGCATGTGGCCTTCTTATTATACATGAAGGTATAATGGTGCCAATATGTAAATTTAACATCTTGATATATGGCGCATTCACATTTTATCATTGAAGGCATAACAGTGTAATATAAATATTCAATATCATTGATATGGCATTCCTATTGTGCAATAAAGGTGCAATGATACTTATGTGAACATATACCTTGATGTGTTAATTTGACATTTTGATTGCACATTAAAGTACAATGATGTCAATTGAGAACAAAGGGAATGTGTGTAATCTTGTAAAGTCCTTGTATGGATTAGAACAAGCACTTAAACAATGGCATCAAAGTTTGATAAGGTTGTGCTAGCTAATGGCTACAAGATTTATCAATATGATAAATGTGTCTATAGTAAGTTCCATGTGTCATCATTTGTGTATATGTGGATAACATGTTGATCTTTGGTACTAACTTTGGAACCAATGGAAGACACAAAAAGGTTATTGTCAAAGAGTTTTGACATAAAAAATATGAGTGTAGCAGATGTTATTCTTAGTATAAGAATAATGAAAGACAATAATGCCATAACATTGCCTCAATCTTATTACATTGGAAAGATTGTAAAGAAGTATGGTAAGTTAGATTGTATGCCAATGTCTACGCCTTATGATTCTAATATAAGGCTAGAACCTAACAAAGACAAGCCAATAGCACAAAAAGAATATGCTAAGGTGATTGGATGACTAATATATGTTATAGTCTATACAAGGCCGAATATTATTGGATGCTAAGTTGATTTACAAGTAATCCAAGTAAAGAACATTGGTATGTTGTGCATAGAGTTTTAAGATATTTTAAAGAGTACAACGAATTATGGCATTTGTTATTCAAGTTTTTCTTTAATTTTATAAGGGTATACAGATGCTAGTAGAAACTTAAATAAAACAAATCATACTTCTACAACTAGTTGGATTTTTATAATTGATGGGTGTGCTGTTTCTTGAGATTCTGAGAAACAATTTTGTCAAGCAGACTCCACTATGGCAGCTGAATTTATAGCTTTAGCATCTGTCACCTAAGAAACGAAATAATCGAAAGATTTACTCTATAAAATTTCATTCTGGACTAAACCAATGGCACCAATCTTGATACATTGTGACAATGAAATAATTGTATCAAAAACATATAATCAAGTATACAATAGAAAGAGTCAATATATTGAACTTCGACATAGCATTGTAAGACAAAGAATTAGTGATGGTATAGTCTTTATAAGTTATGTGAGGTCTTGTGAAAATTTAACGGATTTGTTTACTAAAGGTCTAAAAAAGGACTTGGTAATAAAGACCTCAAGAGAGATAAGTCTCAAGCCTATCAACTAAATCTTCAATGAAGGAAACTCACCTCAATGCTTGTGGCCAACCTGTAAGTCTTGGGTATTGACCATTCTACCACATGGATGATTACAAGCACTAATTTATATTTTCCATTTCAAGGTGTATAGTGCTTGGTTCTCATAATGTGTAAGGTAATGTTGAACAAAAGTTCTTAATAGACCCAAAACATGTATATGTTGAACTACTATAATTACGGAGTACTTCCGATGGGAGCTACCTATATGAGTGGAAGTGTAGCCGTTTCTAGGAGCCAAAGGCTTGACTCTAACAACACTCATGAATGGATGCAAATCACAAGGCCATAAAACTTGTTGGCAAAACTAGACACAAAATGAGCAAGGAAGCTTATGTGTGTTTAGTTGCCCATCTAGTTAAATGAAGAATCGATGGTTCAATGCTTGGTCAACCACTCAATTCAGACTAGAACCAACCACACTCAGTAAGTGAAAGTTCAAATCTACGGGATACCTTCATTTATGCATAAGGTTCCCAAAGTTGTTAGTATTTAAAAATTTTAAAAATGGTGGGAGATTGTTGGTTTATTTTCAAAATAAAAAATTATGTCATTTAATGAAAAGCTATCTTAACTCAAAAGTTATATCATATAAAGTGACATAGTATGACTATTGGATTGTAGGTAGGTTTTCATGTAAATAGTTATGTCTCTTGGTAAAATGACATCCAAAAGTTATGAGACAAATTTTTTTAAAAAAACACCATATGTTAAAAGTTTAAATATGAAAAGTTATTGTTTCAAATTATAATTCAAAGATTATGTTTTATGAAATGAATAGTTGTTTTTTAATAAGATGATTATTGTAACAATACCTTTATCAGAAGATTGTGTCTTGCAAAATATAAAGATGTCTTTTAGATAAAATAGTGCATTAATGAAAGAATTGTTTCCTTTAAGAAGAGACACTTGCAAGCCTATATAAATGGTTTATTGCCAACCATTTTAATATATAAAAAACTAAAAACAAAATAAGAGCAGAAATATCAAGAGCAAGAAAACTGTTGTGTTCTATTAACAGAAACACTTAAGTTCCCATCAATTACAAAAGCGTCCAAATTCCTTATAATCTACTTGCTATAGAAAATAGGCTCTAAGGCTGAACAACATTGCAAACCCTCGAATGTATTTAGCGGTCTACTTTCCTAAAGTACAAGACAAAGTTAGATATTCGCATTTTTCCCTTTTGTATATAGAGTGATGGGGGTGAAATAAGTCTTAAAGATATTGTCCATTGAAAGGTTCACCTTGAAGTCAATTTTGTTGGTTCCTTAAATTTCATCTAAACAACATTTGCACCAACAGATTGAA